CTTGGTGTCTTGTTGATTGCTGCCCGCTGCTGCTGCTGCTGCTGCAGTCCTTCTTGCTGCGATGGAGAAAAGCAGAAGCTGCAGGGGCACCCCTCCCTCCTCTTAGTAAGGCAACGCTCCTGCTGCTGCTGTTGCTGCTGTTGCTGTTGCTGCGGTTGCTGTTGCATTTGCTGCTGGTCTTGCTGCTGCTGTTGCTGTTGCTGCAATATGGGTGAGAGAGAGCGCTCATCCCCTGTGCTTCTGCTGCTACTGTTGCTGTTGCTGCTGCTGCTGCTGCTGCAGCAAACTCTCAGGAGACACAGCTAATGAGAAGTATAGGGGATTTAATTGGGGTGTATAGGCAGCGCATCTGCTGCATCCAAGAAGACACGCTGCAGCTGCTATTTACTGCTGATTTGCTGCAGTTAGCGCAGCACGTGCAGCAGCAGCAGCAGCAGCAGCATATAACCAACAACATCTTGCTGCATAAGATACGCAGCAACAGCAGCAGCAGCAGCATACTACCAACAGCAGGAGACCTCCGTGCCTTCTTGCGTCAGCTGCTGCAGCATCTTGCTGCTTCTCAATTAGCAGGAGACATGCTGCTGCAGGAGGTATGAATACAGCCCTCCTGTTGCTGCTGCTGCTGCTGCTGCTGTAGTCGTAGTAGTAGTAGTTGTTGTTGTTGCTGCTGTTGCTGCTGCTGCTGTTACTTCTGCCTTCACTGGCGATGAGCAGCAGCAACGACAGCAACAGTAGCGGAAGCAGCAGCTGCAGCAGCAGCACTTGCTGCTGCGTTGCAACCTCTTGCTGCTTCCTCAGTTTGTCGTTGCGTTTATATCTGCGCCTTGCTGCTGCTTCTTCATCTACATGTTCTGCTGCTGCCGTGCTGTGTGCTGCTGCTGCTGCTGCTGCTGCAGGTGTCTGCTGCATGCGACAGTTCTCTAGGTTTATTTGTTTGGCTTTGTGTCCTACAAATCCCTCCTGCAGCAGCAGAGCCTTCCTCTCTCTTTCATGAGACCCTGCAGCATAACGTAAGTGCAGCAGCAGCAGCAGCAGCAGGAAACCGCAGCAGCAGCAGCAGCAGAAACCGCAGCAGCAGCAGTAGTAGCAGCAGCAGCAGCAGCGTTGTATTATTCAGTTTAGCTCTGGCTAGCTTGTGCTTGTTGTGTCGCTTTGTTTCCCTTGATGGCTTTTGCCTTAATATGTGCTGCTGCTGCTGCTGCTGCTGCTGCTGTTGCTGCAGCGGAGTGCCGCTGCTGCTCGGCTTTCTTTGGCTAGGAGCTACAGCCTTTTTTCTTTGCTGCTGCAGCGCACAAAACAAGCCGGTAGGCTTCTGCACTTGATGCTGCTGCTGCTGCACTTGGTGCTGCTGCTGCTGCTCTCGTTGCTGCTGCTGTATTTGCTGCTGCTACTTGTGCGTTTGTTCTATTATGCCTTCTCTTTCTTCTATTTAGCTGCTGCTGCTGTTGCTGCATGCATTTTGCGGTGTACGTACAGCTCAAAAGGGACCAAACACCCCCGAAGGAGCAGCAGCAGCAGTGCTGCAGTGTCTCAATTCCTTTAAGGATATGGAGTTTGTTAAGGTTAGGGTTTAGGGTTTAGGGTTTAGGGTTTAGGGTTTATGTATAATGTTTAGTGTTTTTTTAGGGTTTAGGGTTTATGGTCTACGAATGAGGGTTTGAATAATCCGCGACAGGGCTACACTCCCCCTCCCTCTAGGGTTTAGGGTTTAGTGTTTAGGGTTTAGGGTTTAGGGTTTAGGGTTTAGGGTTTGTGTGTTATGTTATTTCAGAGGTCATTAATGCAGCAATGGTTCTTAGGTCCTCCCTTAACAGAAATATATCAGCAAGTATTTGCTGTGCTGCCTATAGAGGTGCAGCAGCTAGAGCAGCAGCAGCAGCAGCAGCAGCAGCAGCAGGAGTTACGCTGCATGCGTATGCTAGAGAGGGCTGTGCTGCACCTCAAGCAGCAATACTTATCTTTGCTGCCTCCCCCTCTTAGCGATATAGAAGCTAAGAGTGCATGCGTCCATCTGCTGCAGGTACATCTCCTGCTGCTGCTGCGGCTGCTGCTGCTGCTGCACTTGCTAGTGTTGCATATGTTTACGCACTAGTTGCTGCTGCAGTTGTTGCTGCTGCTGCTCCTGCAGCTCCTTTTTTTCTCCCGTTTGCTGCTACTCTTATGCTGCTTCTCCTTCATTGCTGCTGCTGTTGCTGCTGGTGCTGGTGCTGGTGTGCTGCAGGGTACTGTTGCTGCAGTATGTCTAAGTGCAGCAAGAACAGAGCAGCAACGTGCTGCACTAGCTTGCTGCTTAGCGGAGACAGAAGGATGTTTATCTGTTACTTATTCACAGCTGCATATACACCTAAAAGGAGACAGTTTGCTGCTAGGTAAGATAAGGAGATTATTGTCTCTATCTACCCCACACTTACTTGCTGAACAAGCTGTGTTGCAGCAGCAACTGCAGCAGCAGCAGCAGCAGCAGGTTATGCAGCAGAAATTGCAGCAACAGCAACAATATACACAGTTTAGTCAACAACAAAATCACCAGCAGCAGCAGCAGCAGATGCAGCAGCAGCAGCAGCAGACTACTTGCACGTCTGTGCCACCGCTGCTAGCAGCAATTCATGTGCTGCAGCGGGTGCATGCAAGCAGCAGCATAGGGCTGCAGCAGCTAGTTGGTCTTAGTGATGAGCAGCTGCTGCTATCTGCTGCTGCTTACTTAAGAAGCTGTAAGGAAACAACAGAAGAAACAGCAGCAGCAGCAGCAGCAACAGCAGGAACAGCAGGAGCTGTTGCCGCACCTGCTGCTGCTCCTCCACCTGCTGCTGCTGCAGTGGTGGCGGTGGAGGAGTCTGCTGCTGTTCCTTTTGCTGCTGTTGTTGCTGCTGCTACTACAGCGCTTAGAGTTGGGTGTACGTACACTATAGAGCAGCAGCTGCAGCAGCAGCAGCAGCAGCAGCAGCAGCTTCCTTCAGACAAAGAACTGCTTGTTGCTGCCCTCGGGCTGCTGCAGCAAGACACAGAAAAAGACGCATTTTAAGTGCTGCAGCAGCAGCAGCAGCTGCTGCTGCGGCTGCAGCTTGTTTCTAGTTATTTGATGAGCAGCAGCTAGTGTTCCACGGTTTAAGGTTGTGCTGCTGCTGCTGCTGCTGCTGTTGCTGTTGCTGCTGTTGCTGCTCCTGTTGTACACTATATGTGGAAGAAGTTGCTAGAACTGCTTCTGCTGCTGCTGCTGCTGCGTTAAGTTGCTGTTGTACGGAGGGAAGACACACCGTGCTGCTGCTATGGAGAATCTCCCTACTTGCTGCTGTACATAGCTGCAGCAGAGGCAGCAGCAGAGGCGACAGCAGATCTTATAGGCTAAGAGGATGTAGGTGCTGCTGCTGCTGCTGCATGCAGAGAGATGCAGCAACAGCAACGCCAGTCGTAATAACAGCAGCAGTAACTGCAGCAGCAGCAGCAGCAGGTGTATGGGTGTAGTTGCTGCTGGACACCTAAATATTTATTTTTGTTTAATTAAATTAATTATTTAAACTTTTTTACATCAATTTATATAAAAATATACACTGCAGCAGCAGCAGCAGCAGCAGCAGCTGCTGCTGCTGCTGCGTTGGCGGCGGCTGCACCGCCGCCTCAGGAGACCAGTGGTTCGACAGCCCCCAACCAGCCGCAGCCGACAGCAGCAGCAGCAGCAGCAGCAGCGGCAACTGCAGCCACTGCAACAACAACAGCAGCAGCAACAGCAGCAGCAGCAATATTTGCTGCTGCTGCTGCTGCTGCTGCAGCAAATATATAAGATGAGGGGTTCCCTCTCTGTATGGTTTTGTGCTAAACACCCAAAACACTCCAAAGATATACAAGTAACACATAAACCCTAAACCCTAAACCCTAAACCCTAAACCCTAAACCCTAAACCCTAGACATGAAGTAACGGATCTAACACCCATAGTTTAACCAGTTGATAGCCCGAGACAAAGGTAGAAGGAAGATGCAACTACTCTTGCTGCTGCTGTTGTTGTTGTTGCTGCTGCTGCTGCCTGTTGCTGCTGCAGGCTGCCTTCCCCAAGATTCAGTGGCAGCAACACTCCAGCGATGCCTCCCCATGGGATGTCCTCTTCTCCCCAGTAAGCCGCTGCTGCTGCTGCTGCTGCTGCTGCTGCTGCAACAGTTGCAGTTGCTGCTGTTGTTATTCTTTTTCAGCTACTTCTATCTTTGCTGCCGCTGCTGTTTCCGCCGCTGCTGCTGCCTTTGGTGCCTTTGCTGCTGCTGGTACAGTGCAACTCTTGTAGCAACTGCAGCAGCAGCAGCTGCTGCTTCTGTGTGTCTGCATGCGTCTTAGGTGGGCCCCTGCCAGGTACGTCATTTGTTGCTGTTGCTGTTGCTGTTGTTGCTGTTGCTGCTGTTGTTGGTGCTGCTGCTGACAGATATGCAGCTCTCTCCCTTTCTTCTCAGCAGTTGGTACTATGGCTGCTGCTGCTGCTGCTGCTGCTGCTGCTGTTGCAGAGGATTGTGGCTGTACGTTTTCTAAGACAAGCAGATTGTACAGATGATTCTCTTCCCCTCCCCATTGCCTTTATCCTGCAACATGAGCAGCAGCAGCAGCAGCAGCAGCAGGGAGAGACGCATCTACAGCAGCAGCAGCAGGACGACCAGCAGCAAGAGCAGCAGCAGGAGCAGCAGAAGGAAGGTAGTATGTCTTTGCTTTCTCCTTGACGCTGTCTATTTTAAGCTAGACACTGCTGCCTGCTACTGCTACTGCTGCTGCTGCTGCTGCTGCTGCTTCTCTCGCTGCGGATGCAATATCTTCTGTTTTTGCTGCTGTTGCTGCTGCTGTTGCTGCAGTTGGAGTGCCTGCTGCTGCTGCTGCTGCTGCCGCTGCTGCTCGTTATATTATACTGCAGGCCTTGCCGCTCGTCTTTCAACAATTTCAACTCCAAGTGGTACTGCCGAGGCCTGTGTTGTTGTTCCTGCTGCTGCTGCTGCTGCTGCTGCTGCTGCTGTTGGTGCTGCTGCAGCTGTTGCTGCTGCTGTTGTTGTTGCTGCTGCTGCTGAAGTTGCTGTCCTAGGACGTGACGTCTTCAAGGAACATCTTGTAGCTCGTGCCTTTGCTGCTGCTTCTGCGTGTGCTGTTGCTGCTGCTTTTGCTGTTGTTGCTGCTGCTGCTGCTGCTGTTGCCTTAGATTGCTGCGCTGCCGCAGGAGTGGAGCAGCAGACCTCCAGAGGTTTTGCCTTTAAGCCCAGAAGACTCTCTTGCAGACTTGCTAACCAATCTTATCAAGGCAGGCACTCATTGTGCTGCTGCTGCTGCTGCTGCTGTTGCTGCTGTTGCTGTTGCTGCTGCTGTTGCTGCTGCTGCTTATGCTTGTGGTAAACTGTTGGTTGCAGGAGGTTTCTTGTGTTTTTCCTGCTGCTGCTACTGTTGCTGTTGCTGTTGCTGCTGCTGCTTCTGCTTCTGCAGGAGCACGAAGAGTTGGAGGTGCCACCATCGCTGCAGGAGCTGCTGAACCAGCGCAACGAGGCAGCAGCAGCAGCAGCAGCAGCAGAAAAGCAGCAACTTGAAGAGACTCAGCCTGAGCTGCAGCAACTTTCTCAGCATGTTGCTACTGAGACGAGCTCAGCAAGTCAGTTTGTTGTTGCTGCTGCTGCCGCTGCTGCTGCTGCTGCTGCTGCCTGTCTGTGTTGGGTGGATTCCCTATTCTCTATCCTTTTACGGGCAACGGTCTAGGGTTTAGGGTTTAGGGTTTAGGGTTTAGGGTTTGTGTTGCGCAGGCACACCCCAAGAGCTTCAATCACCCCAATCTGTTTTAGATGCGGAGGACAGCAGATTTGATGCTGCTGCTGCTGCTGTTGCTGGTGCTGCTGCTGCTCCTATAGCAGCAACACCAGCAGCAGCAGCAACGTTGTGTGCTTCTGGTGTCTATACGCCTCTAGATGGTAGTGAATGTACCCTTCAGACAATTAACAGCAGCAACAGCAGCAGCAGCAGGAACAGCCTCGAATCTGCAGCAGATACAGGTGCAACACATGAGGCAGCAACAGCAGCAGCAGCAGCAGCAGCAGCAGGAGACCCCAAAGCAGTTGCATATCCTTTTAGCTTTCGCGACACTGGTAGTAAGCCACACAAGCGGCAGCAACAGAAGCTGCAGCAGCAGCAACAGCAACGGCAAGAAAGCTTGCAGCAACTGCAGCAAAGGGCAGTGTACGGACGCAACAACATACACAGGTTGTATACCGCAGAGCAGCAGAGGCAGCAGCAGCAGCGGCAGCAGCAGCGGCAGCAACAACTGCGCTCTTCTACCCTTGAGTTTCAACTGCAGCAAGGAGCATCTTATGCATGCAGCAGCCGCAGCGTGGGCAGCAGCAGCAGAGGAAGAAGCAACAGCAGCAGCAGGAAGAGCAGCATCAGCCGCAGCTTCTGCTACTCTGAGCAGCACAACTGCATGCAGGACAAGCCGTGGGTGCAGCAGCAGCAAGAGCTGCCGGAGTGGAGGCCAGCATCAGAAGCAGCAGCAACAGCAGCAGCAGCACCCACAGCAGCACACGCTGCTGCATCGGGGCAGCAGAAGCAGCAGAGCCTGCTGCAGCACCAACAGCCCCTTAAAGGAGGGAGAAAACACAAACGGCAGCGGCAGCATCAGCAACTGCAGCAGCAGCAGCAGCAGAAGCACCAGACTCTGCTTCTTCAGCAGCAGCAATCCTGCCTGCTGCTCGAAGAGCAGCAGCAGCTAGAACAAGACGACGTGCCGGTGCAGCACGAACTGCTGCTGCAGGACGAACAGCAGCAGCAGCTACTGCGGCAGAGGAGGCAAGGGCACACACGTCATAAGCAGCAGCAGCAGCTGCTGCTGCTGCAACGGCAACACGCCTTGCCGATACTGGGAGACTCGCAGCAGCTGCTGCTGCATGACCAGGTGGAGCTGCAACAGCAGCAGAACCTGCCAGAGGAGGGATATTTGCTGCAGCAGCAGCAGCAACAGCAGCAGCACATGCCATATGGTACAGCAGACAACTCTTGGCTTCCTTGCACAACATGGCAACCACAGCAGCAGCAGGAGGAAGAGGAGGAGCAGCAACAGCAACGTGACTACCAGAGGAGGCAAAGGAGAAGGGAGAAGCAGCAACAGCTGCAGCAGCAACAGCTCCGGCAGCAACAACTACAGCAGCAGCAGGTGCAGCAGCAATACCATCGACAGCACCGCCGGTGCCGCCCTACCGTGCAGCCGCAGCAGCAGCTGCTGCTGCAACAGGAGCAGCAGCAGCTGCAGCTACAGGCAGAAGAAGAAGAGGTGATGCGACAACAGCGGAGAGAGCTGCTGCTGCACCGGGAAGCAGCAGCTGCTCAGCAGCAGTGGCAACAGCAGGGGGAGAGGCTGCTGCTGGAGGCAACAGCAGCAGCAAAAGAGAGAAGGGAGCAGCAGCAGCAACGGCAGCAGCAGTTGCTGCAGCAGCAGCAGGAGGAAGAAGCATTTCCGAAACACACTGTTCAGAGGCGAAGGGGAGAAGGGTATCGCCGACACCAGCAGCAGCAGCAGCACTTGCAGCAGCAGCATTTGCAGCAGCAGCACTTGCAGCAGCAGCACTTGCAGCAGCAGCACCACCATTACGCTCATCGAAGCGGGCAGCGCGAGCGCCGAGGGCAACGGCAGCAGCAGCAGCAGTTTCTGTAGCGTGATGGTGCAACAACAGCATCAGCTGCTGCTGCTGCTGCGGTTGCTGCTGTTGCAGTAGTTGCAGCAGCAACAGTTGCAACAACAGCAGATGCAGATGCAGCAACTGCAGCAGCAGCTCGATCCGTCTATCTATCTCTCTTAGCAGTGTATTTAGCCAGCTAGCTACTCACACTAGGCAGCTAGCTACGCCTACCATGATATAGTTAGCTGCAGCAGCAGACCTTCAGCTAGTTAGCTAGCATATACACGTATATACATAAAGCTGACTAGCAGCAGCAGCAAGCTGCTGCAGTGCAGCAGAAGCAAGCTGCTGCAGTATCTCCTTGGATTGAAGGAGATCTTTAGTGAGAGAGGGGAATGAGGGACGGAAAACTTTCCTCCAACCCTAAACCCTAAACCCTAAACCCTAAACCCTAATCCTTAAACCTTTAGCATTGGATCTAATAGAGTATAGAAGAATCAGACAGGGACACGGACGAGCGGAGTGTACGTACACAGCAGCAACTCTACCCCACAAGCCCCTGTTTTTAAGTTTGTTGCAGTTGCTGCTGCTATTGTGGTGGTGCTGCTGCTGCTGCTGCAATAGCAGCAACAACAACAGCAGCAGCAGAGGCAACAGGGACAACACTTAACAGGACAGATCTTCATTGGGCTTGCTGCAGCTGCATCCCTAAAGGAATTAAATGTTAATACTTTGCAGCAGCAACAACAGCAGCAACAGCAGCAACAGCATCGTTAGCAGCAGCAGCAACAGAGGGTCACTTCCATGCGGGCTGGGCAGAAGGCTACAACAGCAGCAAGTACGATCCTCTGCATGCAGCAAATAATATATTATTTTATTTATTTATTTTATTTATTTATTTTATATTTTATTTGTACTTTATTTTATTATTTATTTCATCATTAAATATAAACTGCTGTCCTGCTGCTTCCACCTCTCTGTTGCACAGCCTCAATAGGGGTCACCTCCTCAGCTGTTGCTCTTGCTCCTGCTGCTGCTGCTGCTCTTCCTGCTGCTGTTGCTCTTGCCGCTGCTGTTGCTGCTGTTGCTGCTGTTGCTGCTGTTGCTGCTGTTGCTGCTGTTGCTGCTAATGCTACTGCTGCTGCTGCTGCTGCATTGAATTGAATAAAGCATAGATGAGCATACGCAGCTACTCTCCTTAGCACTGCATCAGCAGCAGCAGCAGCAGCAGCAGAATGGAAAGAACTGTCGACTAGGCTCTCTGAGAAGCATAGAACTAGAGCCTCCGCATGGGCGGCTAGGACAGCAGCAGCAGCTGCTGCAGCAGGAGCAGCAACAGCAGCAGGAGCAGAAGGGTGTTGCATCACCAGGCACTTCGCTCTGAGGCTGCTAGAGGTCTGCTGCTGCATTAGCTTCTGTTGCTCCCGTTGCTGCTTTAGTTTATTTCTTGCTGCTTCTGCCCCTACTACCGCCGCTTCATCTGTTGCTGCTGCTGCTGCTGCTGCTGCTGCTGCTGCGATGGTCGGTGACATAGAGCCAGGTGAGGCCATGGAGACACCTTTCTTCCGCTCGGCCTCAAGCACAATCCCTCAGCAAACGTCCTACGCTGATGACGCTGCTGCTGCTGCTGCTGCTGCTCCGACGTCTGGAGAACACGCCACCCCTGCAGCACCAGCAGCAGCAGCAGCAGCAGCAAAAGCGGGAACCCTCCGACGGTCGGGCTCTCCTGGTAGCGTCACTTTGCTGCAGCAAATGCAGTTACCACCACACCAAGCAACCTTGGCAGCAGCAGCAGCAGCACCGTCTGCTGCTGCTGTTGGTTCTGCTGCTAGTGCTGGAGAAATCTATCTGCAGCACAGTTCTACGCTGCTGTCAGAGGGAGAAGTTCGCCCGTTTGCTGCTGTTGCTGCTGGTGCTGCTGACCCTCTGCATGCAGAGCAGATGCTATGGACTGTCGTTAAACCCCACATTGGCAGTATCCAGAAATATAGGCAGCAGCAGCAGCAGCAACAGCAGCAGCTGCAGCAGCGGCAAGGTACACTGAATGGAAACAGGCAGCAAGAAGTAGCACCGTTGCTTACACATGGTGGAGTGCTTCTGCAGCAGCAGCAGCAGCACCAGCAACATTTGCTGCGGCAGCACTCGCTGCAGCATCTGCCACAGCAAACGCAGGGAGAGTATATTATGCAACTGCAGCAGCAGCAACAACAACAACAGCAGCTGCAACAGCAGCAGCAGGAGCTCATAGATCAACATATGCAGTGGCGATGCAAAATAGAAGAGCAGCAGCAGCAGCAACAGGAGCAGCAACGTCTTATCGAGCAGCAGCTGCAGATGCAGCAAGAAGCAAAAGAGCAGCAACTGCAGCAGCTGCAGCACCTCGAGCAACAGCTGCTTCTTGAGAAAGAGAAATGGGTGGGTCAGCAGCAGCAGCAGCACGAATGGCAGCAAACATACGCAGAGAAGCTGCAGCAGCAGCAGCAGATAATGCAGCAGCAGCAGGAGATGATGCAGCAGCAGCAGCAGCTGGTAATGGATTCTCAGGAGCAGCAAAGAGCTTGGCAGCAGCAGCAGCAAGAACAGCTGGAGCTCCTGAAGCAGCAGCAAGAGGAGTATTTGCGCCTTCATCAACAGCAGCACGCGCACGAGGCGCAACAGCAAGTGCAGCAGCAAATGCAGCAGCAAGTGCAGCAGCAGAACGGACCCCTTGGGCAGCAGATGCAGCAGCAACTGCAGCAGCAGCAGCAAGAGCAGACACTCAAGCAGCAGATGCTTCTTGATCAGCTGCTAGAAGACGGCATCCGCATGCATTCTATGGAGCAACTATCGGAACAACTGCAGCAGCAGCAGCAAACAGAACAGCAACAGCAGCAACAGGAGCAGCAGCAGCAGCAACAGGAGCAGCAGCAAGAGGAGGATCAGCTGCAGATGCTGCAAGTTGCCTACCAACACCAAAACACTTCTCTGAGTATAGCCAATGAGGAAGCCAATCGTGCTGCTGCTGCTCCTGCTGCCCATACTGAACTGCAGCAGCAGCAGCACCAGCAGCTACAGCAGCTACAGGTAGAGCAGCAGCAGCCTCTTGCCAGTATGTGGCCGCGTCGCTCTCTTTCATTTCCTCTGAGCAACAGCAGCTGCAGCAGCTGGCAGCAGCAGAGCACAAGATGGGAGCATTCAGGAGCAGCAGGATCAACAGGAGCAGCAGCGGCAGCAGCAGCTGCTGCTGCTACTCGTGCTAGTACCCCACAAGTGCGGGAGGAACTATGCTGTTGCGATCCCCCCGTTGCTGCTGCCTCGTCTGATAAGCCATCAGCAGCAGCAGCAGCAGCAGCAGTACCAGCACGAGGCGACTCCATAGGGGCGGGTGTCTTTGCAGCAAAGAGGAAGTTGCTGCAGCAGCAGCAGCAAGCAGGCTTGCTGCAGCAGTTGGAGCAGCAGTGGGCGCATGAGGCTGCCGCGTTACAGGGGGAGGAGTTGCTGCAGCAAGAAACACTTGAGCAGCAGCAGCTGCTGCAGCAAGCGACAATGGAGCAGCACCTGCTGCTGCAGCAGGAACAAGCTGAACAGGAGCTCCGTCTGCAGCAAGAAGAAGCAGAGCTGCAGCAACTACAACTGTTGCAGCGATACGAAGCTTTGCAGCAGCAGCAGCGGGAACTGCAGCAGCAACAGCAGGAACTGCAGCAGCAGCAGCAGCAGGCACTTTCGCTCATGAACCAGCAGCACGGGAAGAGCTGCAGCTACTCTGACTTGCTGCTGCAGCAACAGAGTGGAAAACACCTGACAGAGAGGTGCATGCAGCAGCAGCAGCAACAACAACAACAGCAGCTGCAGCAGCAGCAAGTTATGCAGAAGCACCAGCAGCAGATGCTGCTGCACCAAGGAAGCGACGACGTGGTGCTGCTTCCCTTGTGCGAAGAGCACGGGCATATTGCTGCTTCGCTGCAGCAGCAGCACGCTCTGCAGCAGCAGCACTCTCTGCATCAGCAGCAGCGGCTGCAGCATCACCATATGGAACCCCTGCAGCAGCAGCAGGAGTTGCAACATCATCAAACGCTGCAGCAGCAGCAGCAGCAGCAGGACATGCAGCAGCATGAGCACCAGCAGCAGCAACAATATAGAGGGGATATATCCCCTAGGCGGATCCAGAGGGCAAAGCAGCAGCGGCTGCAGCAGCGACTGCAGCAGCAGCAGCAGCATTCCCTGCTACAGCAGCAATGGATGCTGCTGCAGCAGCATCAGCAGCAGCTTCAGATGCAAGGCCAGCTGCAGCAGCAATTACTGCAGCAACACCTACAACTGCACAAACGGGACCAGCTGCAACTGCAGCAGCAGCAGCTGCTGCAGCAGCAGCTGCAGTTGCTGAGCCTTCAAGGGCAGCAGCACGCGCAGCAGCAGCAACAGCACCAGCAGGAACACAACGAACAACAAGAACCGGCTCCGCATGAGCAGCAGCAACAGCAGCAACATCAGCAGCAGCAAGAGCAGATAACTGCAGCAGGAGAACAACCGCAGCAGGAGGGTGCATGCACTGCACAGACTCTCCAGCAGCAACTGCAGCAGCAGCAGCAGAAGAGCGATAGCCGACAGCAGCAGCACAAACAGGCAGGGAAGGAGACACAGGACGAGTGCAGCACAGGAAGTGGCAGCAGCAGCAGCAACGGCAGGTGCACCTGCGGGGATATGCAAATGCTGCAGCAAGTACCCCAGCAGCAGCAGCAGCAGCAAGCTCAGCAGCACGAGCAGCAGCAAATGCCGCAGCAGCTGCTCCCGCAAACTCCAAGTGTCTCTTCCTTGGGGTCGTTGCAGGAGGGAGCCGAGGGTCGTGTAGCAGCTCATCAGCATCAGCAGCAGCAGCCACAGCAGCAGGAGCAGCAGCAACTGCAGCAGCAGCAGCAACAGGAAGGTGCTTGGTGCTGCAGCTGCGGGGCAGTTAATTACAACCCGCTTATAGGAGAGACAATGAATAGCTTTTATAGAAGTACACCAGCAGCACTTGCAGCAGCAGCAGCAGCAGCAGCAACACAGCAGCCGGCTGACAACCTACACAGACACCCCCCTTGCTGCTTCCCCACCGACCGGCAGGAGCAGCAGCTCTTGCAGCAGCAGATCCTACAGCAGCAGCTGCTTCTACAGCAGCAGCTGCAGCTGCTCCAGAGCCAGACATCTGCATGTAGACAGCAGCCCCCGCTGCAGCGAAATCAGCAGCAGCAGCAGCAGCAGCACTGTGGTTATGCTGTTGCTGCACTCACGGATAATGGCGTCGCCGCTACGCCGTGCTGCTGCAGCACCCCACGGCCGATGCAGCCGCAGCAGCAGCCGTGCTGCACAGCAGCAGGAGCGTGCACGACTGCTGCCAGCACACCCAGGCGCATGCAAAGCAAGCCCCAAGTACTTGCTATTGCAGCAACACCTCATGCAGCAGCGACGCCACATGCAGCAGCGGCAGCCAACCATCGTCCTTGGAGCTGCTGGGGGGGCAGCTGCTGCAGCAGCAACCGTTGCATGCAGGGACAGGACCACCAGCAGCAGCAGCAACAAGAAATTCTACGCAGCAGTTGCAGCTACTGCGGTGGCTGCAGCAGAATAAACCCACATGAATCTGACCAACAGAAGCAGCAGCAGCACCTGCAGCAACAGCAGCAGCACCTGCAGCAGCAGCAGCAGCAACTGCTACACGATTTGCAGAGGAGGCAGCAGCACTGCAACACGGAGACACTAGATGCCCCCCCGCTAACACTGCAGCAGCAGCAGTTCTGCTTGCTGCAGCAGCAGCAGCAGGACAGCCAACACAAGAACTTCCTGCTGCTGGGAGGAAGCGGCAGCAGCCATTACACAAACCCTGCTGCTGCTGCTGCTGTTGCTGCACGGCCAGTACAAATGCCTGCTGCTGCTGCTGCTGCTGCTGCTGTTGCTGCAGTAACACCTGATGGTTCATGCATTCGGCAGCAGCGCTTCGAGCTGGTGCAGCAAGCAGCAGACTTGCAGCAGCAGCAGCAGCAGCAACACACCCCACGTAGCCCCTGCGCTGCAACTGCACCTATGTGCTCACAGACCATGAAGCAACAGCAACAACAACAGCAGCTGCTGCTGCAGCTACTGCAGCAACAGGCCGAGCAGCAACTCCTTCGTCAGGGCAGCACAGGCTGTTGCTGCTGCCGAGGCAGCGGTATGTGCAGCACCAGCTGCTGTTGCTGCCGAGGCAGCGGTATCTGCAGCAGCAGCTGCTGCTGCAAGCAAGCGCTTGCTTAGCCCATAAGCAGCAGCAGTTGCTGTTTGCGAAGCAGCAGCAGCAGCAGCAGTTGCTATTTTTATAGGCAGCAGCAGCAGCAACAACAACAGCCTCACGCTGTATGCTTCTAGTAAGCTTGCTGTGGGGTGCTGCTCCTACATGTCCGCAGCAGCAGCACTTGTTGCTGCTGCTGCTGCTGCTAGTGCTGTTGCTCAATATAAGCCTGCTTGTATAAATAGCAAAGCAACAGCCTGAGCAGCAACAGCAGCAGGAGAGCCTTCTGTTGTTGCAGCAGCAGCAGCAGCTGCTGCTGCTGCTGTTCCTGCATCGCGTGCCACTATAGGGGGCGTAGCAACCTGCTTGTGTATGCTGTATTGCGTGCAGCAGCAGCAGCAGCAACAGCAGCAGCAGCAGCAACAAAAGAAACAATAAAATTAAAGGAGACAAAATTGGGGTGTCTCTTCAGCTAAGAAGGTCCAAATAGAGATTCATCTGTATCTGCTTCTGCTGCTGCTGCTGCTGCTGCTGCTGCTTCTGCTGCTGCTGCTGCTGCACCAGGATGTGGTGGTGACTGCTCGAGTGCAGCAGTGTCTGCATTATCTGCTGCTGCTGCACTATCTGCTGCTGTTGGTACACTGTCTGCTGCTGTTGCTGCACTGTCTGCTGCTTCTGCGAAGTCAGCAGCAGCATCAGCAGCAAGTTGCTGCTGCTCACAAATGTGCTGCCGCTTCTTCGCGGGTTCAACGCTAGAAGCAGCAGCAAAAGAAGCGTCACCTGCTGCTGCTGCTGCTTCTGTTGCATCGGGTGCAGCAGCAGCAGATCCCTCTCCAGAGGATGAATACGAAGCAGCAACCTGCTGTTCCTGCTGCTGCTGCTGACTAGCGGGCTCTTCTGCTGCACTGGCGGCTTGAGCTGGCAATTCACCACTAACAGGAGCAGCAGCAGCTGCTGCTGCAGCAGCAGCAGCAGCTGCTGCAGCTGCAGCAGCAGCAACAGCATCCTTTCTGGCTACAACAACAAGATGCCCATCAGCAGCAAGAGAAGCAATAGTTGCTGCTGTTGCTGAGCATGCAAGCCCCACAATAAACGTCGGGTGTATCTGCAGCACCTCAATAAATACCTCTAGTCCTTCTGCTGCTGCTTCTGCTGCTCTT